CGAAAGAGATGTTGAGATCTGAAAGTAGGAGGAGAAGTTGACGGGGCAGCGAGATGCAGGAAAGATATTGGAGGTGGTGGTACTGTATCTATGGAAGAGCAAATCTGTACTCGTTTCTGCAGCTCCTTTGTGAGGAAACGGGGGCAGTGTGAGCATCCAGAACTGGCCTTGTGCTTGATTTTGGAGACGGTGGGTGTAGGTGAGCTGACTCTGGGGCTTGGAGGAGAGACTGGTGTGCTGTACCAGGCAGGCGTTTCGGACTCGGACGTATCCTGGAGAGGGATGTAGGGATCCCGGTGGTTGACGCCAGGCAGCAGGAGAATCGAGGTGAATATAATGGAAAGTAAATCTTTGTTTTTAAAGTCTTCATCAGATGGCTTTGAGTGTCCTCATCCCTGCCTTTTTGAAAATGAAGCCCTGGTTGTTTTCTTGAAGCAGCGTTCTTGGAGTGGTATGGTTGAACGAGAAGCACAAAGGGACTCTTGGAACAGACCTCTGCTCCCTTGCCGCAAGGGAATGGATTTTATTCCTAACCTCCTCTTGGGCAAAACACTCTGTGATAAAGGTTATTCTTTCTTTATTTCGGCAGAGCATATAATGAAACACTGAAAGGTATTTCTTTCTTCCAAGCATGTTTACACATGTCCCTCTTCATTATAGCATCTAAAGAAACAGCAGAGGTACAAACCCAATTGTTTTCCATTTCTCTTGCTAACATTATGCTGCTGCAGCATTAAAACATCACTACCAGATTGGGTCTCATTAAGTTAGGTGCTGCACAGAGACATAATAAATTGCAGCTCCTGTTCCAGAGCCTTATAAAGGCTCAGAAGTCAGGGGAATCGTTGTTCTTCCAACCTCGATTCAAACTGTTGAAAAAGAACAGCAGCTTACAATCGCTGCAAAAATCTGTTTATCTGGTAAATACGTGGGTGGTTATTGGCAATTTTACCAATGATCATCTTCAGGTTAATTATCTTAATGCATCTTGATCAGGTAGCGTTTAGCCCTGAGAAAATGTCATCTTGCACAGCACAGCTTCAGGAGGTTTTGGAAAATGTATTCCAAAAGGTGGTTAACACCATTACATTAGATTTTGCTGTGAAACTTTCCCCTGTCTAGCTGCAGAGACATCTTGACACATGCAATCCTGTGCAAGAATAAATATGTGCAAAATGAGCTCAGATAGTTGCTGAAAAAAAAGAAATGTTCTTTGACTGTCAGAGCTTAATATTTTAGTCTCCCTGGAGCCTGGAGCTCTAATCCATGGCCCCCCACCTGCTTGTTTGGATTCGTGTTGTAAACACGCGTCACCTTTAATGGGGGAATTTGGTACAGGAGGGCCTTGTCTTGTTTTCCTCTCTGCTGCGGTTAATGCAAAGGGATAATAATACCTCCATGCCCCCCGGTTCCTGCCGGGAGCGATCCTGCTGCCGCCTGTAACCCGTGAACCTCGCTGGGTAGCACCCCTTGGGCTCGGGGTGGTCGCTTGAAGGAGTACCCGGCCCAGCAGCCGAGCCCTGGGCTGCCTTAGTCGAGGATCAAGGA